TTCTATTCAATTCCAAATGTCTGTGTCTCTATTTTAGTGCCAGTACCATGCTGTCTTGAGCACTATGACCTTGTAGTACAGCCTAAAATCTGGTATGCCGATGCCCCAGCTTTGTTTTTATTAGTAAGAACTGCCTTAGCTATATGGGTTTTTTTCTGGTTCCATACAAAATGCAGAATCCTTTTTTCCAAATCTTGAAAGCACCATGTTGGTACTTTAATAGAGATGGTGTTGAATTGGAAGATTGCTTTGGGAAGTATTGATATTTTAACAATGTTGATTCTTCCTAGCCATGAGCATGGTATGTTCTTCCATTTGTTAATATCCTCTGCCATTTCCTTTCTTAGGGTTTCATAATTTTCTTTACAGAGGTCCTTCACCTCTTTTGTTAGGTATATTCCTAGGTATTTCATTCTCTTTGAACCTATAGTGAAGGGAGTTGTGTTCTTAATTAGCTTCTCATCTTGGCTGTTATTGGAGTATACAAAGGCTACTGACTTATGGAAATTGATTTTCTATCCTGAGACATTACTGTATTTTTTGATGACTTCCAAGAGTCTTGTGGTTAAGTCTTTGGGGTTCTCTAAGTATAAGATCATGTCATCAGCAAAGAGGGAGAGTTTGACCTCCCCTGCTCCCATTTGGATGCTCTTTATTTCCTTGCCTTGCCTAATTGTGTTATATTTTTCTTAAAGGCCATAAAACCCCAAAGAAATAACCACTGTAAGAAAAATGGTAGAAAAACAATTCTTCCATCCAAACTCATCCTCAAATGGCAAACCAGTGAGGTATCAAGTATTACTTATGCTCTTTTCTGGAAGGAGAAGGCATCTTAAACGTGGGAATAGCTGCATTTGTTACCACACTGGTGTTAGAGGGAAAGCCAGCATTACATACACTTTTCATTTTCTGGTGCAAAGGACATTCTGATTAATTAAAATGTTAAAGCCTCCGGTAGGAGAACTGCTTTTGCAGGCTGAATTTCCTTGGCTGACTTTTGGGATGAGCTAGATAGGAGTCATGACTGCAGTGAGACAGCAGAACTGGGAAGTGTCCCATGTCCCTCGCCTGTGTTAGGGGAAGCAGGGCTGTGGTGCCAGTCTAGGGGTAAAGTACACAAGTGACATTTCTGCACTTTATTCATGGAACACATTCTTTTCTAACCCGGAAGGCTCCATTTGCCCTAAGTGCCCCATGATAGAATAATCTGATCTCCCTGATCTGATAAAAGCAGTTTCTGAGCACACTTTGTATACACTTCGTCATCAGTTTATGTTCTTTGATTTATTAACAGCTGTTTAGTGAGTATCTGCCGTGACATAAACAGTGCTGGGCTTCGTAAAAAGTTAAAATCAGTGTGTGTTCACATGTTATAAAGATTTATGCAAATTTTAAGTGGATATTTTCAAAAGTCTAATTTTATGCACAAAATTTAAAATAATGCAAATCACCCCAAATTTTAGAAGTCTGTCAAGAGTCACACGACTTCCCAGCTGGCAGGGCAAGCGCATTTTAGTATGTGACGTGGTTGCCACGCTTGGACATCAGTTTGCCTGGAAAGCAGACGTCCACCCTGCACGGGCAGGAACCCACTTTCATTTCCTTCCTCTAAGGCCTCTGCAAATGATTTCTGTGGCCGCTGCTCTGTCATTCCAGTGCACTTGGGTGGCAAATCCGAACATGGCTCTGAAGATCTTGAATCTCAATCTGGATTTCAGCTTGCATAGGGGTCAGGGGCACCTAGGCATATGGGCTTTGGGAATCTTGTACGTCCCCACGTTCATTGTTCTTACAACTTAAAACCTTGTTTCTTGTATTAGGAAAGTGATATCTGGCCTGTAGTGAACACTTCTTATGTACCAGGAGCTGCCTTAATCACAGCTCAGTGAGGTGGCAGTACTGTGATTACCCCACTGCGGGGGTGAAGAACCTTGCTCAGCTGTAATCTGGGGTGCCCCATGCCACAGTACCGCTGAGCTGAGCTCATCCAAGCATTTTTCCAGCTACACGTGAATATCCCACCCCAAAATTATCAGCTGTGGAGAAAACTAGACCTGGTAAAGGCTACATCAAAGGCTAGACGGCCACCCTTCCCAAAATGTACTCCTTCCCTTCTGTTACTATTGGGAAATTAGTCTTGCATTGTATTAATTTCCCTTCACAAAACATCAGTCTTGATGTGACATGAAGAAGTTTGTAGATGGAGCTCATGGTGGCCCCTTCCACTGAGTGACTGTCCCGCACTGGGGACCTTGCTAAGCTCTTCAGACACATTCTCCTTCTCCTTCACACCAGCCCGTGTGGTACATATTGCCAGCCCCAGCCACATCCTGGAGTTATCCCAAACTTTCCATCCAGGACTCCCTCCCTAACCAATTCATGTCTTTTTGAATTGTAAAATACTCAACTTTCAAAGTTTCCATCTCATGATATACAATTGATAAAGTAAAACTGATAACGACAAAGTTATCTGTATTCAGGTAACTGGTTCTAGCAAGATTTCCCTGGAACTTGAGGTTGCAAGTGAACAGAAATAAGCCTGTATACACAGTAAAATCAGGAAGCCCCAAGTAGGGTGTCTGCAGCCCCGCAAGTAGCTACAGATCTTTCCCAGCTTTAGCATAGAGAGCCTGTTTCCTAGGCTCTCATCAGCTTCCTTAGTAAGTTTTGATCAGACTTCAAGAAATCTAGATTTCACTTCCCTTCAAACAGTTTAACTTAATAGAGGCACAGTTAAAAACCACAGATAATAGAAAGCCAGTTTATAAAGTTTAAATGCACAGCATAAAGCCAGAGGTCCATTGCTTTCCTGGTGACCTAAAGGCCACTGAAGGTCCCATCTGCCATCTTCCAGAGCCCAGAACCAGGCTCAAAAGTGACAAGCTGTGGACGGAGGAGTCCCAGGACTGTGCAGGTGCCAGGGGAGCCCCAGGACTGTGCAGGTGCTGGCAGCCACACGTTAGGTGTCTTTCTGAGAGTATTCCCAGCTCCCAGAGCAGACAATTCGCTTTCAAGATTTTGGTGGGGAACAGTCTCTTGCTTGGGAGCAACAGGCTTATTTTTGTGAATTGCAGGAATCTGTTCACCATTGCCTGACATCCTTGTACCTCCAAAACAGATCTTTTCAGAGTCCTGTATATTTTGAAAACTATGTGATTAATTTACCCTAGGCATGAATTTGAGATACATGTACTTATATGTTGAATGTTGTATTGAACATGTTGCTATTTCAGCAAAACAACTGATTGAATGATATAGTAATTCCTTTCCAGCATAAAGCCAGGCTGTGGCTCAGGTCTTAATCCCTGAGAGTACAAGGCTTTAACTGTTGGTTTCCCAGGGAAGCCATCCACGGGTGTGACTGCAGGCTGGCCTTGTGACTCTTCCAGCCCAGGTTTCAAGGGCTTCTGTTCGTGCTCCTTGCACAACCTGATGGCTTCATTAAAGAGCATTCACATTTGTCAACATTCTGGCTTTTCAAAGGCAATGTGAAGTTTCCTTTCAGAACCTGCAGCCATACGTACTGTTGGCTGCACTACGTGGAGAGAGATAACCTATTTACATACTAAAAAGGTCAGTGCTGGACAGTCAGCAGTTAGAGATGAATTTGCTGCTGCTTGCAACTGGAGCATAAGAATTGGGGAGAAGCTGGCAATTTTGCTGTCTCTTTATCAGTGTAGACAGCAAACACTGGTAAATGTGAGGGTGTCTGCTCCGATCCACGAGAGTGGTGTTGCACAGAGACGCCGGGTGATGGATAAGCTTGCTCACAGTTTAGAACCTTCCTGATTACTAAGAGGTATGTCGCTATGTGACGACAAAGGCTGTCCTCACCAACTAAAAGTGAAGTTCATTTGAGATGGAATATTGCCTAATACCTTTTCAGACTCTGTTAGTGAAATACAAACCCTCCTAACAGACTCTGTGTGGCTACTGCTTACTTAAGTTTAATTTACTTTACAAAAGATAGACTTTTAGGGAGCTTAAAACATTTCCTTTTGTGATCTTTTCAAAAGCTCTTTAAATATCAGCAGTTTTATTTTGCTAGTATGTATTAAAAGTGTCTTTAAAAGATGTTATTATAAAGGCATTGGCTGTCTCTGAAATCTCTGAAATGTTTTTGCTCCTTATCCATTTGTAGACTTAAAGCTAAAGAATTAGAGAGGTAAGAGTCATGTCTCCATTTTAAATGCTGGGCTAGAAGATGAGGGAAAAGTCACAGCTGAAGGTAGAGAACTAGTGCAGGAAGCTGTGGATAAGTATAAGGCTGAAGTGAGCTGAGATCTGAGTGTAGTCTTACTCCTCGGGTATAGCAGCCAATCTTGAGCAAGCAGATAGCCATTGTCCTTTGTGCGTGAAAACCATGGCACATTCAGAGCTTCTGCTCAGAAAAGAAAGCAGCCCATTTAAGACTGCCTGTGTCAGGGAGGTCATGTTTCAGCCACAGCTTTCCACAAGTCCCTGGTTGCCCAGGTGAGGTCATGGTGTATTTCTGGGTCTCTGATGGCAGCCAGCTCTCAGGGGAACCTGTGCTATGTTACATGTTGTGAGACACCCGGGGGATTTATGAAGCCAGATGTGGACCTGGGCTGACTTAGTCTTTAGAGATGTATGCAGCAGCTTCCAGGAAGAAATTGTTGTTTGTACACGTGCACGTCCCAGATGGTTCAGCATGCCGGTCTCCCTGATGGTTACAGTCGGCAGGATTCCATGATTCCTCCGACTCCTGTTTTAAGGAGAGGGATACCAGTGGCACTGATAAGCTAGGCCTTGGTGGGCCATCACACCATCTCATGGAGGCTGTTTGAACTTGGTTGGCACACAGCCATAGTCCCCTGATTCTGGGCAGCAGCTGTCATATGACTACTGTCCTAATACAGATCAGGGAGTAGGCCATGCTGGGGGACTCCTGGTGATGATCCCGTACCACCACCCCCCAACTGCAGCCTCTGCCATGAGGCAGTGGGCCTCCAGGCCTCACCCACTCCCCTCTCTTGCAGAACGCTCCGTGGGGCAGACACAGCGGGCGCTTCCCCAGTCGCTCTTCATGTCCACGGTGTCAGTCCGCCCTTTCTGGGACCTTCCCCTCGGCAGGGAGCAGCACTGCAAGCTGCTTCCAGGTGTGGCTGACGTCCAAGCAAGCCAGGTGGCCCAGTGGACAGTGGATGAGGTGAGCAGGACTGCGGGGGCCCTGGGCTGGGATCTGCCCTGCTGCTGACCAACAGGCAGAAGGCACGGACTTACCGAGGCCTGCAGGCGAGGTCCTCTGACACCTGGAGAGTGTCCTTGCCCTCCTGGCTTTGCATCCTCGCTCTGCAGAGTTTAAATCCAGATGAGGAAAGCCCTTCGCCTCCCCAGCAGATTTTACCCCTCCTCTCTCCAAGCTTATTCCCCACCACCATCCACCCTGAGCCTCCCACCCCAGATTTAATTTAGGGCAGCACAGATGAATGGACAGGCATCTCAGGCTTGCATCCCTTCAGTGTCTTCCCTGGGAGGGCGTGGCCACCTCTGGACATCCTATGCCAGTCACCCTGTGGCCTGTGGGACCCCTGTATACTCACTCCAGAGTGGGTTCCACGATGATCAGGTCAACCTTAGGTTTATGAATAACGTATATTTGGTCACAACTTTGTGCAAGAACCTGTGCAGAGGAGAAAAGTTGGATCATAACATAAACAAGCCTTATACGCAATATGGGTTCTTAATAAGGATCATTTAAGCCCCATTGCTTAGTGTGATGCCACAGAGATATCTTGCAGTGAAAGCGTTTTCTTTGAAAGAATACATCACTTAACTCAAATTTCTCTTGCTAAAAGGTATTGTTTTCACCAGTCAGGACTTAGATAAATTGATTTTTAAATGATGGAAAACCCTGGGTCACTCTGAGAGCAAATCAGAACTAGAGTTGGAGTTTAGTCACAACATGCTAAGATAGCACTTACTGCAATCAGCCTAACTGAATCTTGGGGTAAGTCTTCCTTGCCAGCCTTGGAAGGAACAGGCAGGGCTGAAGCCTTCCAGAAATGGAAAGCTGGGAGCCAGCCCTGTCTGCCAGCCCCTGGCCTGTACCTCCCACAACCTGGGGGCAAATCCCCCTGCTCCCAGCCTGGTGGTGCTGAGGGCTGCACTGCCCTGGGCCTCTCCCTCACTCCTCCCAAAGGCTCCTGCCCTGTGGTCCTGGCACCATACCAGGCACTGGCTGAGACTGGGAGACAACTAGAATGTGATCCTGCTCCTTACAGAGCACCCAGAGTCTTCTTTCCTTTATGAAATTTTACAAGTTTGCAGAGTGTGCCTAAGCCTCGTGACCAGGCTGACTGAATTAACTGAATTACAACCCATTATGTCCTTAATCAAATCGTGTATGGTTTTGCCTTTGAAACAACACTGCACAAAACACAGAGTTGGACTGAGAACTAAGTGGCAGGTTGACTTCCAAGGCACTCGATTGAAGCAAGACCTGTTGGCAGTAAGACCGAGCGAGGCTTCTCTGCTGTCCTTGTTGCTGGACTACGGGCCCTGCATGTCATCCCTGTCCTGCACAGAAGGGTGTCTTAGCCATGCATAGGTTGGAAGAGATTACGCTAAGGCCCTCTCCTGCCTGCCTGTGCAGGGTGATTGCGTCCTGATACTGAGGGAATGTGGTAGAGAAGGATGGATCTGGGCGTTCTCTGGCTCTGCGGGACGTCCCACCTCTGGTCTGCAAAGCCTGCACTTTGGCACCATGTTCACGCGGTTGGTCCAGCATGGCCCACAGTGCCCTCTCCCACTCTGCCCCGCAGGCAGCTCTGTGCTCACTTCCACCCACTGCAGGAGGCTCCCTCTGGGCCAGAGGTCACCTGTCCCAGCTCCTGCCCTCCCCAGCATGATGCTCACTGGTTGAAGAAAGGCCTCATGTCACCCCCTTGATGTGGCATCTTGAGACCCTCTCCCTGCACCTGGCACTTAGTAGACACCTAGTAAGAATTTGTTAAATGAATGTTGAAAGACAAGAGAATCGATTGTGAGCTGAATTTTGAAACAAAGGTGGAATGTATCTAAGCAGAGAAGGGGCATCATTCCAGTTGAAGGAAAGCAAAGGAGGTTGCATGGACGTGAATGAGACAGGCCCAAAGGTGACAGGCGCACAGTGTGCCTTTTATGGCATTAATAGGGAAAATGAACTTAGGAATATAATGATGGTCAGGCATGGCCAAACTCGCAGAGGAGGAAATTGAGTTGCCCAGAGACTAAGTGACTCGCTTATGGCCACACCGTCTAAGCCTGCCAGGAGCTGACGTCATGCCCACAGTGCTCTCAGGACCTGGGGACATAGGAGGGTGACCTGGGAAGGAAAGATGGGTCAGGTGTGAAAGGCCTGAGAGGCCAGGCGGAAGGCGTGCACGATGTGCAGTCAGCCATTGGAGGTTCCCGTGCAGATGTCACTTTGTGAAGGCAGTGTCTCAGGGAGATGACAATGGCAGAGGTCTGCTTAGAGGGTGGAGCGAGAAGAGGCTGAGCGGAGGGAGGCACCCGGGGGTGGCCAGTGTGCCGCAGGTGTGGCGCCATCAGGGCCTGGCCTGGGCACTGCCGTGAGAGGAACCTGGACTCAGCAGATGTTTTAAAGTCCAAAGCAACAGCACATGGAAACAAATTAGATGCGGAAGACGAAAACATGTAATGAGGCAAGTGTGATTCTGTTTGTAGTCTCCACACCACACGGTTTAGTATGTAATTAGGACGATGATAAGCGAGAGGGGAGAGGCCCCCGGAGCTCCTCTGAATGAACAGGAGAATCGTGATGCTACCAGAAGTGACCTCTGGGGACAGGATCCAGTTTGGGGGTAGAGGGATTCCATGCGATTTCACCACTGGACGTGCAGACTTGGTGGGCCCTGCGAATCACAGCAAAGAATAGAGAGAGATCCAGTGGGCAGAAACTGGACACAGGTGCTCTGAAAGGGTGCTGGCGGAGGCCTCTAAGAGGCATTTACTAGGGCAGGAGTGTCCAGAGACCGCCTCTGACGGCTGGGGACAGGTCCACAGGGCCCTGTCAGAAGGGGCAGTGTGAGGAGGAGCTGGGGGCAACGTGGGCCGGGGTGGGGGAGGCCTGCGAGACAGGTGTCAGGAGGAAGAGAGTCAGGCATGCACCATGCAGCAAGGCTGAGCTGGGCGTCAGGCAGGGCTCCTGCTGGGCCGTGGAGCTGGGATTCAGGTCTGGGGAAGAACATGAACAATGTGAGCACTGTCTAATGGAGGAGCTCGTATCACCTCTCAGAGCACTTCCGCGCAGACAGAGTGGGAGCGGCCGTCAGGGACACTGAGTAGTGTGCAGGAGGTGCAGGTGAGGGCTCTCATCCCGCAAGTTTCAAGTTTGCTGTTAACAAAAGCAATGGCAAGAGATTAGAAGGTGATTTGAGGCAAGTAGCTGATGGCAGTGCAGGTGTCGTGAGGGCACGGAGTTCTCCAGAGGAAGGCTCAGGGAGGAGGACCGCTCAGAGGGCCTGGTTCCTGAGCTCTCCATGGCGGGCACACCCCAGTCTCACCCTTCACTGCTGGTGGAGGCCTTAGAGCCCAGACACCCTGCAGTCAGCCAGCAGAGAGGCTGAGTGCCTGGCACGCAGCGCTCCTGCTCTGGGGGCTTCCTGTGCCTCGTAACCATGACTTCCATCAGGGATGCGCTCTGCAGAGAACAGTGTGCATCATTCTCTAATGCCGATGACTCCAAAGCCCTGACAGGGCCAAGGAGAGCCTCCTGAATTTCTTCTGCATCCTCATGTGCTATAATACATATTCTAGCACCAAAATAGGTCCTCAAGAATAATCTCTGGTGGGCTGAAAATGTGGGCTTTGGTACTGTTCTGTTTGTATCTCTGAAAATAAGGGAGCTCTCGGAAGGGAATCCACTCAGGGGTGCCAGTGAGTACGGCGTCGGCGCAGTCTAGGCTGCTTGTAGACTCGACAATGATGGTGGCAAGCTGGGTAGTGATGCTTTGCAAAGGAAGCTGAGCAGGGTTGGTGGGGGTTGGGTGCTTCTGTGCTTCCTTAGTGCTTGAGTGCGTTGGAGAGAAGGCCAGGGCAGGGAACGCAGAAGTGGACCTGGCATCCCGTGCTAAGTGCCATTCAGCAAGACTTAGCATGGGGTGTGTGTGGCAGAGGATGAAGTGAAAGAACATTCCCTTTGTCTGCCTTCCTGGCCTTGAGGGGGGTAGCTTTTCTGCATTATACTACCTGTGAAAAGAAGCCGTCTAGGGCCTTTGTGACACTCCCCAGAGCTGTGAGCTGGCTTTTAACTCTCGGGTTCCTGTGGCTGTTTCCACCAGACCAGTGTTTTTCAAAGTGCAGATGGGCTGTGAGGTCAACTTAGTGGTTAGGAAATGGAAGGCAAGACCAGCAGAGGGTACATAAAATGTCACAGGGTTATCATTTGGGGACACTTCAATTAGAGACATGTGGGTGTGTGCACACGCTAAGTTATGGGCAGGGCAAAGTGTCTTTCTTAACTCTGGGTCATGAAAATATCCCGTGCAACTGTAGCTATTAAGAGTTAGGGACTAAAGGGCTGGGCGCAGTGTCTCACACCTGTAATCCCAGCACTTGGGAAGCTGAAGTGGGTGGATTGCCTGAACTCACGGGTTCAAGACCAGCCTGCGCAAGAGTGAGACTCCCGTCTCTAAAAATAAGCGGGTGTTGTGGCAGGCTCCTATAGTCCCAGCTACTTGGGAGGCTGAGGTAAGAGGATTGCTTGAGCCCATGAGGTTGCTATGAGCTATGATGCCACAACACTCTACCTAGGGCAACAAAGTGAGACTCTGTCTCAAAAAGGGGGGGGGAGGGACTAAAGTAAGTTTACATCTTTTTATGCCCTTTTAGCAAGGCATTCGTGCACGGGGAGGTGTTTGACAGAGTTTGAGTAAGTGAATGAGCGGCTGAGTGACTTATCGCTAATTCACAAATCAGGTGGATTTATGTAGTCTGCTCCTGCCAGATGTGCGCCCGGCCACACACAGGGTGTGATCCATCATCTGCACATTCTCCACCATGGCTGCGACTCAGCCATGCTTGTTGGCCATGTGGTGGCCACATGGGTACTTACATTTCTGCTATTCAAAAATGTTTCTTAAAACACCACATATAAATTGCCCTAGTCTCAACCGAGTGCTCCCCAAATGTTCATTAACTTTAAAAGATGACAGTCACTTTAAAAGCAACCTTCACACAGGAAGGAGTGTTTTAAAACATTCAGGGTACTGCCAACTAAGCATAGCGGCCTCACACAATTGGGCCTTTTTTTTAAAAGGGCAAATAAACTCTGCTGTTAAAAAACGAGACCTGGGCTAGAAACATGGTCCCCGGTGGACTGTTAGCCGGTACAATCAGGCACACGTCCACAGGCTCAGCAAGACAGAGCACAGCACCATTTGGAGAGATTTGAGGCATCAGCAGCCCCAGTGAAGAACACGGGCCGGCTGAGCCCCAGCGAGGATGCCAGGGAAAGTAGGTCGCAGGGGAAGTGAGTCAGGTGAAGTGATGGGCTCATCCTTCCTGGTCTTCCCAAACTGCTGTCTCATACCTGGAATTAACTTACCCCGTGTCCTTCCAAAACAAAGCGGGGATGGCAGGAAAGGCCTGCATCCCAGCCTGCCCTGCACCGTGTGGGTGCTTCTCAGAGCCAGGCCAAGGGGAGACACCACAGCTGAGTGCCACCAGGGTGATGGTCACCTTTGAAAAAGCATCCTCTCCCACCACAGTCAATTCTTTTAAAGGACAAAGGGATGACCGGATGCTCTTCTCCCACCTGAACAACTGTCCCCATTTTCTACTAAGACTTAAAGGGGGAAAGGGTGTTCACCTTTTAAGAGCGGAATGAGAGAGAAGCTTTTGATACTATTCTAAGGCATGTTAAAACTCACTACTTTACATTTAGAAAATTTATAGCAAAACTTTTTATTAAAGCCTAAAATACAATTCATTCTTGGGGGAAATATATACCAACTAATTAACTAAATCTAGACCTTTGGATATTTTTTAATTTTTAGCCAAAAAAATCTGCCTCAATAGATTTCCTGGAACTTGTTCTTTGCTTTGGTAAAAGACTGAGTCAAATGGGAATTCTTTCCAAAGTGGCAGGATTTGGGGAGAGACAACAGAGGACAAGGGGTTTGGAGGCACGTGTGCGGCGGCGCTGGCCCGGCCAAGGCCACCATGCCCTCGGCAGCTCCGGTTCTATTCTCTTAACACTTTGTTTTAACACACTACTTATTCCTGTTAAAAAATCCAATTTAGCTTTGACACGGACAATGATTTCTTGGCTAACAGTACTAAGGAGGGAGGATCATGGTCCTTTTTTCATTTGTTCACCCAGAAACAGACATTTTAACATATGCAAACCACCAAAGCAACTCACAACACTATTGCTATTAACAGAAGTTCTTTGAGCAAGTATTTAAAAAGAGACCCTTTTTCAAACTGACCACCCTGCCAGTGGGGAAGCTGCGGGCTGTACTGCTGACATGGTTCCCCCGCAGTAGCTGGTGATTGGAAGTAAACAAAACATGGACTTCAGCTAACTCTTGGACCCACACTTGTATTTTCGTTTTTTCCATCCTATGATATTTAGCCTTTCTTCCTGTAAGAGTCATCCCAGCAGAAGAACTGGGGCCATTTTGCCCCCAAGAGGCATTTGGCAATATCTGGAGACATTTGTGGTTGTCACAACTGGGAGGAGGATATTGGAACCGGCCCCTAGTGAGTAGAGGCAGGGATGCTGATAAGTATCCCACAATGCGCAGGGTGGCACCCACAGCAAAGAATTATCTGCCCAGAGTGTCAGCAGTGCTGAGGCTGAGAAACCTGTCTGAGCATCCTGACTCAGCCCTGATTCCTTTTGCTGCCACACCCAGGTGAGCATCGGATCCTGAGGATTTTACCTCCTGCCTCAGCTCTGCGCTCTGTGCAGGGAGGAGCATCCAGGCCCCCAGCGCTTCCAGCGAACGCCCACAGCTGATGCCCTGCAGCCTGGCAGACACCGCTGGGCATCTCTCCAGCTTCCTCTAGGGCTGTGGTCCTCAGCCCTTGGAGCACACTGGCATCGACTGGGGACCTCTAAAAATATATACCCAGCACTTGGATCTAATCTAATTTGTAATCTCTGTGACATGAGGCCTGGACCTCAGTCAGTTTAAAAGCTCTGCAGGGGATTCCAGTGTGTGACCAGGGGAGAGAACCAGGTCATACGGGCTCTCTGCAGCCTGCCCTGCACACAGAGACCACACCATGCTCCTTCCTTTCTGCCACTCCCATCTGTTCCTCAGCTCCTGCCACCCAACTCCTCCCTTGCTCACACTTGTCCCATGCTGTCCTGCTCCTGGGATTGTTCCTGGGATTCCCTGAGCCTAGAAGTTCTTCTCTACCCAGCCACCCCACATCACTGCTGTACATCCACCATGACAGTCTCAGGGACCACCTTCCTTGTGATGCCTTCTGAGTTCCCCCCTGTAATATGGTCATCCCTTCCTGGGACCACGACCTTCCTCCTCAGTCAGGATGTCAGCACATCTGACTGAGTATTACAGCGGGGGATGAGTTTCCTATTCTTGCCATTTCCCCTCAGTCAATCCTCCCTGCATTTAGGAAGCCATCAGTTCACGGGAAGCTCAGGCCCAGCCTGCTCACAGGGGCAGCCCTCCCAGCACCCAGCCAGGGACTTCACACACACAGCTGGGCGTGGGACACACATGGACAGAAGAGCGGCCTGGAGAATGACAGAGACAGCTCCCTGTCCCAGCCAGAGACATCCTGGAGGCCAACTTCAGCCATGTTCAGTGCTGCTGTCACCTGCCCCAGCTGCCCCTCCTCTGCAGCTTGGCCAGTGGCATCCCATGGCTGACAGCAGCTTCCTGCATACTGAATGTGCCTTCCATGTTTCCTGTGCCCCTGAGCAGGTGCACTCAGCCTCCTCTGCCTGGGACCTGCCAGAAAACCACATTCTCACAGGAACTGGCCTGTAAGGCCAGCAGGAGGGCAAGCACCAGCCCAGGTGGCCTTGGGGCTAGGAGGTGGCATTGCGGAGCAGCATGACAACTTGTTCAGGAGGGTTTTAGAAAATTCTTATCATCCCATACTTGAGAAAGATGATTGCAAAATGACTCATATGGCTGGGTGCAATGGTTCACACCTGTAATCCTAGCACTCTGGGACACCGAGGCAGGTGGATCACTTGAACTCAGGAATTTGAGATCAGCCTGAGCATGAGCAAGACCCCGTCTCTAAAAATAGCCAGGTTGTGGGCGCCTGTAGTCCCAGCTACTTGGGAGGCGGAAGCAAGAGGATCACTTGAGCCCAAGAGATCGAGGCTATGCTGCCACAGCAAGCACTTTACCCAGGGCAACAGTGTGAGACTCTGTCTCAAATAAATAAATAAATAATAAGATAAAATGACTCATGATAAAATATCCCTGCAGCACCAGAGGTGAATAAAGCCAACACTGGCAGGCTGATGCCCCTATAAAGAAGATATCCCGATCTCCGCACTCTCACTCGCACAGACTAAATATAACTGTGAGACCACGGGGACCAGAGGTCAGGAGGACACAGGGGTCTGGCCCTCAGGTGTGCCCTGCCTGCTCCATAGTAGCCTGGACTCAGGAAACTCACCACAGGGGTGGGGGGTCCTCCCGACTTACCCTCGAGGGGTTTGGAGGGAGGGAGCACTCCTGGGGCTCTTTGGAGGTAGAACATGTTGGCACAAGGCCCTGGCTGTCTGTTCTTCTTGAGGACTTTCCTCATGAGACCCGAGAGAGAAGGGCCAGTGAACACAGCAGAGAGACAAAAAGAAAGAAACCGACAGTTCCCTACAAACCTGGCCACCCGAGATCACATCTACTGTTGCGGTCCAGCCTGCCCTTCCCAGGCTGTAACGGTGGCAGATCCAGTCAGAAGCCACCAAAACCCAGTTGTCATTTCTGTCATTGGGAGTCTACACTTGATCATGTTTGTCCAGTCAGTGCCCCAAAATTGTCTGTGGGGAACACCCATTGGCTACTTTAGCTGATAACCAGATCTCAGCCTGAGTGGTCAGTTATTAAAAGGGACTTGGGGTGTGTGAGGGGCAGGAGGGTAGAAAGGGAGGGCAAGGTATGAGGGTGGGAAGTTAAATTGAAGAGACTGATTCTCCAGAATTTGGGGTTTGGAGCTAGAGAGTTCCAACACCATCTCCACTGCTTATTGGCCGAGTGTGGCCTGGGCATGTTATTATCCCTCCCTGAGCTCCCGCTGCATCGTGACTTACGTGGGAATTCTGCTCAGCATCAGTGCGTTGAGTTCCTGTGGTTTGCCAGGACCTGAGTGAGGTACAGGGATTGCAGAAATGAGCAAGAGAGGACCTTGGCCTTGGGTCTGCCTGAAAGGGTCACTGTGATAACTGCCCAGCGAGGCCAGCGTCCCAACTCTTGCTTATCACAAGGTGGTTGGGAAAATCAGAGGCAGGAAGCTTCCAGAACAGAGCTCCATGGAGATGGAAGCTGCCATTGTCATCATTATAATCATAACCCCATGCAGGTCTGCCTGATGATAGGAAGGCAGAAAATATACTGGTCTGGTCTGAGTTCTGAGCTGACAAGTGCCGATGTGGGCTGGCACCTACAATTTAAACCCACCTGCCTGAGGAGTTTGAAGTGTATTTTACTTACATGTTGAATTACTATAACCCCCTAATTATTTCAGGTGCATGTTTTAATAATTTCACTTTGTGCTGTAGGTGGCCGAGTTTGTACAGTCTCTTCTGGGCTGTGAAGAGCATGCCAAGTGCTTTAAAAAAGAGGTAAGAGATGTAAAAATCACATATATTTCCATACTTCTAGACCCAGAGGGCTTAGTGGCCATTCACCTATATGTAAATAAGGGCAGTTGGGGGAGGCCAGGGAAAGGATCCAGCATGGCAGAGCCCAGCGGTATAGGGGGGCATGCAGCCTCCATCCTGGTCCTCTGGTACTTGGCTGTGCTTTGTGATTAAAGGGAGTGGCTTGTACTGCATGCTCAGTAAATGTGCTATTTGGTGGAAGAGTGCACAGGCAAGATCATGAATTAATACCTGTGGGTGTCATGAAGTCTCCGCATAGTGGCTTTAACCACAACTGGGGAAAGGAAAGGATCCTCCCTTGGGACCGCACCCGGGAAACAGGGGACTTATCTACTCCAAAGTGAGAACAGGGCTGTCCTGGCTGTTCCTGCCCTGCACCTGCTTCCAGAGTGACACAGAGAAGCCCCCAATCCCTCCATGGGGTTTCTACTTCCTACCAAACTGCCTGACACATTTTCTGGAATTAGTATCCATAGCCCAGGAGAGACTGGACCACTACAGAATAATGATGCAGATGCTAAAGCCAGGGATTGCCGCATGCCGGGCTGTGTGCTGAGCATTTCCAGCCATTGTCTCTTGACCTCACAATGACTAGACAATGGCAGTTTACCAAGGAAGAGGCCACAGCTCAGGAAGGCTAGGCGGAGCAGGAAAGGGGCAAAGTGGAGTTCCAGCCCACATCCAGCTGGATACAGAGCCTGTCTCAGTCTGGAACTCTCCCAGGAAACTATCCTCCCAGAGACTCAGGAGAGCAGCACACACCTCTCCCTCTCCCGGTTCGGAGCACACATGGCTCTAGGGAAGCACCCTGGGCCTCTCCCAGCATAGCAATGACCCGAGCATTCAGCTGGGGTCACCTCCAGTGGAAGTGTGAGCTTCTCCTGGTATTATGTGAGCTCAGCACTGCTCAGGCCCAGCCAGCCCAGCCTAGAAACATAATCCATACTCTGCCTATAGTGTGCAGTGACACCAAGACCCACCTTGACCAAGAGTCCCACTGGGGAGGGAAGGACAGGCTCTTTTCAGGCCCAAGTGCTCACGCTGGGCTCTCCCCAGCACCGTCACTCCAGGCAGATCACTGAACCTCTCTTATCTCTCCCCTCCAAAACAGACTTAACCAGGGGCCTTCAAAGATTAGGATTAGTGTGTTTATAGTACCTAGCCCAGGCTGAGGCAGGTGGATTGCCTGAGCTCACAGGTTCAAGACCAGCCTAAGACAGAGCGAGACCCTGTCTCTAAAAATAGCCGGGCATTGTGGCAGGCACTTATAGTCCCAGCTACTTGGGAGGTTGAGGCGAGAGAATGGCTTGAGTCCAAGAGTTTGAGGTTGCCATGAGCTATGACACCACAGCACACTACTGAGGGTGACAAAGTGAGACTCTGTATCCACAAAAAAAAAGAAAGGAAGGGAGGGAGGGAGGGAACGGAAGGAAGGGAAGGAAAGGGAAGGAAGGAAGAAGGAGAGGGAGGAAGGGAGGGAGAGAGAGAGAGAGAAAGGAAAGAAAGGGGGCGGCACCTATGGCTCAAAGGAGTAGGGCGCCGGCTCCCTATGCCGGAGGTGGTGGGTTCAAACCCAGCCTCAGCCAAAAAAAAAAAGAAAGGAAAGAAAGGCAGCAGTGTGCAGCAGACAGTCTCCCGGGCCCTCACAAGACTTGCCTGAAATCCCAAGTTTACCTCTTAGAAGCTGTGTGACCTTGGGCAAATCAGTAACCTGAGGATCCCAGCTTTCTTCCTCCACGTGAAGGGATTGTTGGGAGGATAAAACACATATACGTAGCTACTGGGAGGCTGAGGCAAGAGAAACGCTTAAGCCTGGGAATTGGAGGTTGCTGTGAGCTATGACACCACAGCATTCTACCAAGGGTGACATAGTGAGACTCTGTCTCAATAAAAACCCATATGATAGATTATTACAGCTCCTTAAATGTTAGCTGTCATCATCTTCATTACTGTATTCTTAAGATAACTGGCTATTTAGCCAGCGGTCTTTGCCTAAAAATGCTTTCGCCAAGCTCAGGTCAGGGTTCAGAAGTAGGCATGTTCTCTGCCCTCTGCATTGGGGAATGTGTTCGTTATCCCATGGGAAATGTGTTCCCTTCTCAAGATGGATGAGTCTTCATCAGACAATATATCATAAATGCACAGGAAGCTTTTAAAAACTTTTTAAAATCATAAAAACTGTAAAAACTGCACCGTGGGGGGAGGGGATCTGAGGATTAACCTATCAGTAAGACATTGACCTCCAGGGCTCATCGTATGAAGTTTTAAAAGGTTTAGTGCCGTAGTCCTAAGTTCATGGAATGGTGTTTCCATAGGGAAACCCTTTCACGCCAGTTGTCTTGGCTCTGGATCCAGGAATCATCCGCGCCAGGCTGTGTGGGTCGGGGGCAGGCATGCCGGTATCCTCAGGAGTCCAGCTCTGGGGTCACTGGGGCCCCCCGAAACCTATGGAAAATCAGCAGCCTACATGGTCGCTGGAGCTATGTCACATGTTAGACCACATGTTTTTTTTAAATTTAAATACATTTAATTGTCAAATAAAGATTGACTATATTCACAGTGCATAATGTGATGATTTGACGCACCTGGGCCGTGTGTACTGCCCTCCACCATCAGGTTGGTTAACAGTCCGCACCACCCACGCATATGGCCCAGCCTAGAACTTGTTCATCTAGAGCCAGGAATCACTCTGAGCCAGGTTTAAATTATGTTTTTAAAGTTGACATACAAAGCATTCCTTTTGCTTATAATAGCATTTATTATAGAAAAAATATAAAATGCAGGGACATGAAAAAGAGAAAACAAAAACCAACCACTGTTCTGCCAGCCAAAGATAATTTCCATTAACATTTGGTGTAAAGACTTCAGATATTTTAAATATGCATATGTATATACACAGGCATGCATATTTAATTTTACAAATTAGAACTGAGATCATTATATCATGTTTTGTTGCTTAACGATTTATGAAAGGTCTCCCGAATCATTTGATATTTCATGGCGGTCTGAGTGTTAGTGGCTGCATGGTGGCCCGTCCTGTGACTGCACCGTGATTTGCTTACTTCTGTCGTTCATCATGGGGTTGTTTTCAGTACTGCACTATTATAAATAAGGCTGCAGTCTACACACTGCACACTATTATCTTGGGAAAAGTTCCTGGAGACTTAGTTGGTGATATTTTTAAGACTCTTGATACATTCAGGCCAAGATTTTTAAAACATAACGATAGAAATTTAGCCAGGGAACAGTGAGTGAGCGTGTAAAAGCGCCAGCACCTTCTTCCTGCAGCTGCACCTCAATGTCCTGGGAGAAACAAACGGAGTTGAGTGACGGGTGGGACGGAGGCCTGTGAGGGACACCTTCATTCTCTGTTGCTACTGAGTACTCCAGGGAGGCTGTGACAGGTTCAGTGTCACACTCAGCACCCAGGAGTTACTGGTGGATAAATGAGCTTTTTTGGCAGAGTATTTTTATTTGTTCTTATTTATTTATTTGCAGCAGATTGATGGCAAAGCCTTCCTGCTCCTGACGCAGACAGACATCGTCAAAGTGATGAAGATCAAACTGGGTCCAGCCCTGAAGATTTATAATTCCATCCTGATGTTCAGGAATTCCCAGGACCTCACTGAAGAAGACGTCCTCTCAGGCCAAGAGGTCAGGGGCTGAGTGTGCTCCCAGAACTCCCGCTGCCAGCAGGACCTGCGCTCTTCCAGCAATAAATTGGAGCACATTCGTTTGATTTTAGTGTCCTCGTGGTCATGTCCACGTTTCATCTGGACCTTTTAAATTGTCTGTGACTCATGTGGTTAGAAGATCTGGACGACTGATCAAGTGCCAGTGACTCAGGACCTCAGCGAGCACCGGGGGCGGGTTTGGGTTGATGAGTATCTCGTTATCTCTGGCGGGATCCTTTCAGCTCTGAGTGTTTGCACCAGACAGACCAAAGAAACCCACACACGCACCTCTATTCTTTCTCTTCACCACAAAAGAAAAACCATTTTTCCATTTATAAGCGTAAAACTCTCAAGTGGTAAAATACTAAGAAAATGGTACTCATGAATACACGGTTAACATGTCCACCAGAACAGTATCGAGCTTGCCTCAGATCTGCCGTCCGGGTGGTGTGAGTCTAAGAAATAGAGGCCTGGTGCTTTTAAAAGAAAGACTTCATGTGAGATTTTTGTGTGCTTTACTCAGGAAAGTATGAATATTTAAAAAATATGTAACAATAAGCACACGTTTGCAGGGTTCATTAATTCTCCTTTCTGTCCCATTAACTGTTCCTCCGTTGTGCCCCCAAGGTTTCCTGGAGCCCATGCGAAGGAGGGTGCCCAGGAGTATGGAAAGGACAGGTAGGGGGCATTCCCCAAAGATGGCCAGACCCTACTGAGGACCCTGGCATTGGCAAGTGGCCCAGACACCCACCTATGCAGAAATCTTTCCCCCGTTCCCACTCTTAAAGGGGAGTGACCAGTGTCTCCTGAGGTCTGTGCGAAACTGTGTGATAAGGAGCTATGTTACCAACTGGGCCTTCCGCACATCTTTACCGAGAAACATCATTAAAAGAAAAGATTGCTAAAGTGGGAGCTTAGTATCTATTCTTTGTTTGAAGAATTCTAATTTGTTACCAGATGTCATAAGTGACTGTATCATGACTGAAGTTGTGTAGAGTCAGTCCCACAGTTCTAAAAGGTAAGTACCTCTTTTCTTACACGTCTTACTATACCAACACGCAGGAGCAGCTACAAACATCCTCATAGAAGTGGAGAGCTGCCATTTGGGGAGGTGAGAGAAAGGGAATAGATAAAAACAGAGACTCAGACCTGACCATACCATTTGCTTCATTAGGAATATTATGATTGAAAAAAGTTAATTCTGCTTGGAGAATTTCTCAAACTTTACATCACTAAAGAAACAAAAATCTTCTTTTAGAGGCTTGCATATATAACATCTTTACCTAAATGAAATTTTAACATAGTATTGGTTGATGTAAATTTTGTTTCTATGGAGTTTTATTTGTTTTTTGTTTTGTTTGGCTTTTTGTAGACTACTATGTGCAATTAAAATCCCTGCTTCTGCTATATTAAAATTTTAATATATTTTAAATGGCAATAAACAGACAAAACCTATACCTGGCTACCTTAATGAAATGTTATCACCTGTACCCACTCCACAGCCTGAAATCTGACTTTCTTTTTTTTGCAGTTTTTGGCCGGAGCTGGGTTTGAACCCGCCACCTCCAGCATATGGGACTGGCGCCTTACTCCTTTGAGCCACAGGCGCCACCCCTAAAGTCTGACTTTTCTTAGCTGCGGAAGGACAAGCACAACTGTGCCTGCATTTGCTGGCAGAGAACTCAGACTTTTTTGAGTGCTTTGTTGCTTGGGACATATCTTCCTAGAGAAGTAGGGTCAGGTGTTAATATGTAGTAATTTGAGAGTTTTTTAGTTAATAAGAACCTCAGAAATGTCCACTGTATAGCCTCTATGGAAGACATGAGATTTGGGATTTGTGTACTTAAAAGCATGTAATTTCAGCAGAAGGACCTAGAACAGGATCGATAATACCACGCCACAGTGGAGTTGAACTATTGTGTTCCTGGGGGACATGTGATCAGAAGGAGATCCAGCCAGGTGTCCAGCCACCTGCCCACACCCCCACTTTGTCACCATGTAGCTCAGCCTTGAAGTATTCCATGGGGAGCTCGGATGACCCTGCCCTGGTATTCGTGATCTGAGTGAACAATGCCACCTTCGGAGTAGCTCCCCAAGCCAGGGAACTCCAATCATCTGACGCTGCTCATTTCTGTGGAGTGATTTCTCTTCTGCCAGCCTGACCCCACTGGGGTCAGGGAGAGCTGTGCACAGTCAGCTCTAGAGAGTAGTCCGTGGGGGTCCCACACTCCGCAGACATCACAACCCTCTCTGTGCTCTAGAGTTTCGCATTCAGGATGGATTGGTGATGAATTTCTTCCTTCCTCTGGACCCACCCTGCTCTTAGGTCTCCCACCTTGGTGTTTGCTGGGCCTTTTGCCTGAGATGTCCTCTCACCTGCCCACTTCCTCAGTAGGCTTTCTGGACACCCTCACAGTTAGGTCCCCTGCTCACCGAGGGCCACAGCATGGTCTCCCTGCCTGAGGCTGTTAAGTCCTTATTATCATTACTTATCTGTCTCTCCCTGACGGTCCAGAAGATCTGTGAGAACACAGGCAGCATCTGGCGTTCATTGCCTCTTTCTGCACTTGGCACAGTACCTGGCACTCAGTTGGCATACAGTAAGTCATTGCTGTGTCAGTGCATGGAGCCAGCCCCTCCAGTACAAATCCCAGCTCTGCAGCTTCCTAAATACACGTAACTTCCCTGTACAATAAGAAAATAAGGCCAACACCAAAGGGTTTTTTAAATTTACCTTCAGGGATGTGTTCGTGTTCATGACTATGAGCAGCATGGCAGTCATGAGGAGCTGACCCTTGATAGAGCTGTCCATAGGCATCGGGGCACCACCAGCAGCAATCCATTGCCTCAAGTGGACCGAGGGCCAGGCTTCCAGCAATCTCCCATGTAGAAACCCCTTAAGTTTTTGTACCAAGCCTGACCCAGCCTTCAAGGACCCCACAGGACGCACCCTTCTCAATGTAGCCCCCATCCGGAGGCCCAGAGGCATGAAAGACAGACTGGGGACAGTGTTAAAGGGCTCTGGACTCAGCCCTGCCCACGTCCAACTTTCACTCTAACCAGTTTGCTTTCCCCACCCCTCAGGGCTCTCCAGAAAGGTTAGAAGCATTAGGAATTAAAGTCTCTCCCTCTACCACAAGGAGGCCCCCCCACACTGCCAGGCATCCAGATAGGGCAGGTGGGGTGAGGGCCTCGCTGCCCAGGTACCAGCCCTAGCCTCGTCCCCTCCCATTTCCCTGATACTCTACCTGGAATGTGAGTTGAGTCAAGGACAAGGCAAAAATTGACAACAGGGCTTAAGAAATACAAATTTCCAGGTTATTAGAAAGTGTTCCCCCAAAGGACCATTTGTACAACACAATCATAAGTACACATCATGATGCTGGAAATTGGATCATTAGCAAAAATCCTAAGGGAGCTCGGGACTTCTGAGACTGGAGTCTTTGAATGCCTGTAATTTCAGATAACTCTTGCAAAAATAAATTTATCTCACTTCTAACAATGCTAGGACATTTAAAAAACAACCTCTGAACACCTCTTTTTTCCTTCTGTGATTAGAACCCCTGACCTGGTAGAACCCAGGTACTAAAGAGTTTCAAAGAGTGACAAGGCAGGTGATTAACTCCTGGTTAACAAAGGACTCCAGGCCGCGGCATGTTGCCCTGATCTCATGGGTGAGCCACCTTCGTCTACGGAGCCCCATCTTTTGAGTAAGGCTTGGAGGCAGTAAAGAGTATGGGACATGGTCAGGCTGTGCAGTGAGGCCCAGAGTTGAGTACCGCGCCCTGCGTCTCGCCAGATGCAAGATCTGGAAGCGTTTCTTTACTGCTGTCAACTGACCGACTCCACATTTGCACATTTCTTTTGGAATGTTGAGTTTTGCTTCATATCATACTAAGGAATGTTCGATTTGTCTCTGCAGTTCCTAAGGCTGAATATGAAGGTTTTCTATGAATATATTCTTAATACATAGTGTTTGGGAATATGTTCTTCATGAATATTTTCCTTTATAAATGTATTCTTCTTAAAACCTTATTCTTATAAATATATTCATGAAGAATATAATTGTTAATAGATTCTTGAATATTCAAAATCCTTATAAATATGTTACTCCTATGAATAAATATATTAATGAATAATATATTCATATGGCACCTTTCTTTAAAAATACATTCCTGTACTCTCTGTCTCTGGCCCTGTCTGCCCTTCTGCCTTCAGCTGCTGCAGGAAGCTGGGACAGCCAGACTCACCACACTGGTGCTCTGAAGACGAAATGAAACCCGGTCAACCCAAACTCAAATTAAATGAGCAACTCTGCTGACTAAGCCGTTGGGCTAACTGGGGAGCAGCGATGTGATTTCTCAGTGAAACTGCCGACTTCTGTGTCTTGGCACCATCCATCCCCTTCAGGGCAGATGCTGGGTTTTAAATCCAGTGATTGATAAGATACACCTTTAATGCCACCGCCGAGTACCAGGGTGGGACATGCAGGGACGGTGACAGGGTAGCCTGGCAGCTGTGACAGCTCAGCTCTCCAGTGGTAAGAGCAGAGAACCACAGCACATTGCAGGCACTCGGGTGGTCTCCTGCATGTCCCTCCCCTGGGGGCCATAGTTGCAGAGGGGCAAAGCCTTGGATAGCTCAGTCACTGTGTTGGTGGCAGATAAGAATGACAGAGCAGTGGAAGCAAGTCAGGGAGAAGATGGGGTACCAAAGTTTAAGAACCACCATTAAAAAGGGAATGGAGAAAGAAGACTTTGCATTTAAAATATTGAGAGTTATTTTCCTCCAGATAGTTTTATTTCACGTGATCAGACTGGTTGTTTCGTGCTGTTTTGCCCATAAGGCAATGCCTGTCAGTTTCTGGTTTATTTTGGTTTGAAATTAGATCGTGTTCCCTTTGATTTGGGAATCTGGGCATCAAAGCAAATTGGTGCATGAAGAACACAAAGTGCTGAGAAATCCCAGGTTAAACCCAGATGTTCCCACAATGGATTGAACTGCAGTTGTTGAACTGCAGCTAATAGCCCTCCTATTAAATGCACGTGGGGATTGTTTGGGAGTACAGACATCTGTGTTTTACTGTGAAATTCTAGGGTATAAAAAGTCATTCAGAAGGAAAATAATATCAAGAACTATTGCTAATATTAGCTCATTTTTACTTAAAAAAGTAAATAAAAGGTATTTTTGCAGGATCTCTACCCAAAGATGCATGAGTTTCTTCATCAGCGGGCTGTGGGGCTGGCTCGGATGCGTGTGGCATGCGGCTTCCAGGGAGGTATGTGCTTCTTTATAAATTGTTCTGTGATTTGAGATTTGATCTGCTCTGGCAGTTTGCTTCAGAAAGCAGAGGAGATTTGGTTACTTTCTTTTTTCCCAAGAAAGCAGCAATTCATATGAAAGCAGACAACTTCATATGACTTGTCCTCTCCAACAAAAAGAGTCAACAGGCCAATCAAAAATTAGTTTATTAAAGGAAAACTTACTCAGATGGGTTACTTGGTATCGGTAACAGAATTTTTTTTTCCTTTCATTTTTCAATTTGCAAAGTTATCCTCTAGAACGGCCAGCTTTCCTTTTTTTTTTTTAGAATGGCTTTGTCTTTCACGAGCCTTTGTTACTATCAGTTCAAAAGCTGAGCTTGCCCTTCCTGAACCCTCAGAGAGATTTACCCCAGTGCCTTTCAGGCTGGGAAAGGTAAGTCTTAAGCATAGATGGGAAAATATCACAGATACACATCCATGTAGATTCTAAAATTTCCTTTACGTGACTCAGCAGATTCACCTGCACAGATGTCCCCGAGTGTCCAGTGTGGAAATTATTAAGCCCATGTATTCACGAAATACTTACTGAGAACCCACAGTGTGCCAGGCTCAATTAGCATTTGAGATGTAGCTCCGGAC